CCTCACAGCACACACAAACCCAGAACGCCGTCTGTCTTCCTCCCGGCCTCTCAGCTACCTGCTCGCTCTCACGCACAGCTGGTCCTTGCACGGGCGGGCTCGGGCATGGCTGAAAGCCCGGCTCGCAGGTGTGCGAGGCAGGGCTTGAGCAGTGAGCACGGGGGAGCCGGCTTCTGCAACCTGCTGATTCACCCGCTTTCAGGGTGACGACATGTTCCCTCACAGCCTGTCTCCAGACCCCCCGAGAACCCCACTCCCCAAAGGACCACGCAGGAGAGGCTCCCTGTCCCCTGCCCCAGGCCTGCCACGAAGAGGGAGTCGGTGAATGGAGAAGCGAACACCAGGCAGGGACAGACAGGTGAGAGCGAGGGGCCGGCAGGGCCCTTCTGAAGCGGCACCTGAGTGGGAACGCCCGAAACACCGCCCCCCGCGTCCCCCCGCCCCGCCCAGGGGCCGCGGACACTACCTCCGAGGAGGGCGGCTTGCAGTACCCAGCTCCGAAGAGCAGGTTCTCCAGGGTCAGGCTGGACGGCTCCGCTCCCACGTCCGGGCCTCCTTTGCCGAGCCAGGAGCCTCTTCCCGGGCGAGTGAAGCTGCAAAGCGGATAGAAGAGGGCGGACAGAGGCCAGTGTGCCCGGGGGCCGCCGCACGCCACCGGGAAGGAACCACGCTACTCCAGTCAGAGATGTTAGGGCGCAAAGAGGTGCCCCGGGCGCTGGCGGGAGCCTCGGAGCTGGGTCACTTGGGACGAGCCCATACGAGGGTGTGGACAGGTGTTTCTGGGTGGTGTGGGCGAGGACATCAGGGTCGCCCACGCCCTGCCAAGCGGGGCTCGGCACTGCCCTGCGGAGCGCACCGAGGTACAGCCCCAGGGAGAGAGGGGAGGGGAGGCCTGACGGGGTGGGGACCCAGCCGGAGCCCCGCCCCTCCCTGGGCCTGCAGCGTCCTGCCTGAGGGTGTGAAGCACCGCCCTCCGAGGCCCACATGAGGGCCCCAGGTCCGCGGGCCTGGGTGTCCCATGCTGTCAGGCTCCACGGGGCACGCGCCCCCACCGCCCGGGAATGTGGTCATCCGGTCGCCGCGCCCACGGGCCCCAGCCCCGGGGAGACAGGTGGGGCCCGGCCGACAGGTGTGGCGGCAGCCACTGGTCTCAGGGCCGGAGGTTAGGGGAGTCTGTCACTCGACTTCTCACTGGATGCACCTTCTCATCTGTGTCACCTGGCAAGTCAGTAGCATCCTCTCACCCGCCTTCCCCTCCTCCACGCCTTCCCGTTAATTCCCCCCCCTCCCGGAGGGCCTGGGGAGTGGGAGCACCGTGCCCAGGTCCCCGCTCCCCAGGGAGGGCCAGTCTCTCAGGCTGGGTGATAGCCGCCAATACCACCCTCTCCACGCCGGTGCTCCAGCAGTCCTTCCGGAAGCTTCATGCAGGGGACAGGGTCCTGCCGCAGATGCTGGCTGAGGCTCAGCATTGTTCATTTGCTCAAATATGTCTCAGGCTCCTGCCTCCGCCAGGCAGCGAGTCGGGCACCGGAGTGGCGAGCGAATAAGGCTGGCCCTCGTCCTGGAGACGACTCCGTCTGGAGACGGAGGCAGGTGTGGCCGGTGGTCGGTGAGCAGTTTCTCCGTCAAACTGCAGAAGCGGTGACATCTGTGACGATACTCAAGGGGCACAGGGGGCCGAGGGTAACGGGCCCCAGCCTAGCGCCTGCATGCTGCGATGTGGGGGTTCAGACTCCAGGGGCCCTGCCGGAGGATGACACAGCGCTCTGTGGAGGGGTGTGCGGACTCCCTGAAGTCAGCCAAGGACGGCGGCAAGTACAGCGTCTGGCAGACGGCGGCGACTCAGTAACACAGCGGCTATTGTCAATATGCTGCAAACACAATAAGGGCTCATGCAGCCGCTTCCATATCCACAGAGCTGTTGCTGTGACGCCCCAAACCGACTGTCATCCCGGGTAACGGGATCGTCGCTCTGATTGGTGTGGAGCAGAGAACTGAAGTGACGGAGAGCTGAGCTGGAGCACTGAGGCACTCTGCAGCGTCAGCACGGAAAGTGCCGGGCGGTCACTCAGGCCACGCTGGGGGACGAGCCCTGAGGAGTGACTGAGGAGGCTCATTCCCGGGCAGAGCGCGGCCTTGATGAGCTTTCCCGGCAGGTGCAAATCCCGCCAGGGCCTCCGGCTACACGCAACCAGGGTTAAAGACTGAGTTCGTCGGTCCGTTCAGGGAGAGTGAGGGGCCTTTCGGGTTGAAATCAGTGCTTGTCCTTGATTGCCTTTAACTGACACTGCAAAGAAACTGACTTCTTCCAGCAAAACGAGCTTCCATCTGACAGCCTGCATCTGCTGACTGTGAAGGGCCCCTGTGTTCCCAGCCCTCGTGCTCTCTGCTAGAAACACCCCCTGCAAAACCAAGGAGAGAAGACAGGCCTATATTTACCACCGCCCCTGGGGGGCCGTGCCCTGACCGTGACCCTCCCTCGGGGCCTCTCTCTCAGCGGTGCTGCTGCTGGCGAGCTTGCAATAGACTGTTCCTGCCAGGAGGTCACCTGCGCCCACAGCCCAGCCCTCATCAGAAGAGCTTGCAATTCCAGCCCTGGGAGCACGGCCCATGGCTCAGCTGGACAGCCCTGCTCAGCTGGACAGCCCTGGACAATAACTGGCCCCTTAGCTAGTCCTTCTAACTAGCCCTCCCAACTAGTCCCCTTAACTAGCCTCATGACTAGCCCTCTTGACCAGCTACCCCATAACTAGTCCTCTTGACTAGTTTCCTAACTAGCTCCTGTAACTAGCCCTCCTGACTAGTCTCTTCTGCTTTCTGCGTCCTATTCCTGGCGCTTCCCAAGTTCGAGGCTGCTCTCCTGTGTCCCTAGATCTATGGCTCTGGTTGGTTACAAACCTGGAAGAGCGCACGCAGGTGAAAAGCTGACATCACAGTGACATCTGATGCACAAACGGCTCGTCACGGCCCATTTGATGAGAAAGTTTCTATGTCGGTTTTTGCGCCAGAAGCCTTGAAGAGTTCGCAGTTGATCTTATTTTCCCATCCTCGGGCCTTTGTCCAGAAGCCTCCGTCCACGTGCCAGTGTCTGCTGGTTTCCGTGAGTATTTTACTTTCCAAAATAATCTAGTAAGTAAATGCCCCAATGGCACTCTGCCTTGCTCGGCCACACTCGGGCCCCCCGACGCACCCCACGCTGCTAGTCGGCGGTGTTCTGTCCTTGCCGAGGCTGAATGTCGCGTGTGCGGGCAGCCACACCTGTCCTCCGGCCGGCGCCGGGGCACGAGGCTGCCCGCGTCTCGGCCGCTGGAACGCGCAGTGGGCTGGATCGGTATCAGCTGCGCAAGCGGCTGCCCGCACTCCCGGCTCGCCCCCAGGGCTGGGCTGGGCGGGCCGCGCAGTATTTCCACGTCCAGGTTTCTGAAAGTGAATCCAGGCCGCCGTCCGTGATGGCCGCCCGGAGCCCACGCCACCTCCGACGTCTGGCTCCTCTTCCCGCGTCCTCTCCTGCTCTCGCTGCGGGGCCCCCTCAGGGCCCTTGTCGGGGTGTGCAGTGGGGTCCCGCTGTGGCTGGGACCTGCCGCTCTCTGCTCAGAAGTGAGGGTGATTCTTTTCCTCCCTGTCGGCTTCCCGGACACCCATGGATCTGTGCGTGTGCCCAACCACAGGTCCACAGCCCTGGCGTGCTGCAGGTGGGCCGGCCCTGCGGGCCTGGGTGCCGGGTGGGGCTCTACTCCGCCTCTCTCCGTCCTCCCAGGGGTCACGCCTGGAGCCCAGCAGCCCGCATAAGACACTGAGTGCCGGGGCCACGGTGGACACTGCTCCCCAACAGCGCCCCTTGATTTCAGGCCCTGCGGCTCCATCAGCCAGCGTGACCAGCCCGCTGCAGCCCCTGGCCCCGGCCCTCTCCACCTCACCCCCGGGGCCCTTCCGGTTGCTTGAGTCAACTCCCCAGCGGGGCTTCCTCTGGAAACCTGGCACCCCGCCCCTCCCTCGGCCGGCCCCCTCCCCCGCAGCCATCTCAGCTGGCCCTTCCCTGCCACGGGGGCCTAACTCCCGGTGACACAGCTGGGCTTCTGGTTTATGCTGCCGGGTTTTAGTTGTATTTGTATGTAGTAACATTGGTTTAAACACTGTACCTAATTCAGGGGTACAGACTCACATCTCCTCAGATGCGTGTCACCCCCCAGGCCCCCACCAGAGGAGCCCAAATCCCCACCCCAGACTGATGCCTCTCCTCACCCCCTGCCTCTCCCACGGCCCTCGGGGAGGCCGGGGCCTGGCCCTGCCCGGGCTCCTCTGTCCGGGCGGGGCTGGCTGAGCCGCAGGCACCAAGGCGCAAGCAGAACTGGAAGCGCGGGCTCGGCCCTACCTGACCAGGGGCTGCTGCAGGGCCACCAGGGCCGCGTGCACGGTCACCGAGATGACGGACAGGTGGAAGTAGTCGAACATGACCGGGACCTGGTGGTGCAGGCCTCTCCGCGGGTGCAAGTGCAGGCCGAGCGTGCGGCTGCTGACCATGGGCGCCCCGGCCACGTCCCTGAGCCTGCGGGGCAAGGAGGGGTGCCCTGGTCAGCACTGGCCCTGGTCAGTGCTCACTCTGGCCGTGCACACCCTGGTCAGTGCTGGCCTTTCACCCTTGCACGTGCCCTGCCTGTAGAGACAGTTGTCCTCACAGTCTCCAGTGAAGGAACCAGGGCTGAGCGTGGGAAGGGGCTCGGGGCGCCACGTGGCTCGGCCCGGCCAGCCTGGCCTCCGCTCAGGGATGGCCTGTGAGCCAGACTCTTGCCGGGGCCCGTCCTGAATGGCAAGACGAGCAAGGACAGACGCGGGGTTCAGGGAGGCAGGGCTTCTCCGCCTCCAGACCACGGCGTTGGGGGCTGGCTAGTGCTGTCAGGGGAGGGGTCCATCTGTAAAGGGTGGAGTTTAGAAGCACCCGGACAGGCAGCACCTCCTGTGTGACAGTCACATGTCCCCAGACGTGGCCCAGGGTCCCTGGAGGACAGAGCTGCCCACTCTCTGAGAAGCGGGTGTGAGAGGGCTGCCGAGCGCTGTCCAGCCCTGGCACGGATGCCCAGCTGCTCTGTCCTGTTCCCGCTCCGTCCTACTTGGTTCTACAGGCCCGGCGCTGAGGTTACACCTCAAAGCCCAAGGTCCATCCCCTGGATGTCCAAGCATCCTTAGATCCAATTTGCGTAAATGAAAAAAGATGGCATTTTCAGTTATCCGCGTTTCCTGTTCTCTGAACTAATCCAATACTCCAGGAGAACTCCCTGCTCTGATTGTTATTAAGTGCTTTGCATTATAGAAAGAAATTAGCACAGGAAGCCTGGCCCCAATGCACCTGGGAAGCTATAAAGAGGAAGGAAAATGACTCAGGAGGCCACGCACAGCCTGCTGCGGAAAGCATCCCTCTTCATTCTCAAAGCCGACTGGGGCCCGTCGCCGATAATCACCGCTCCTCTCTAGAAGAGGATAAGAGACTCGGAAAGCACCCGGCTGCCGTGCCGCACGCCAGCACTCCCGGGGGCCAGCCCTGGACACTGGCCCCCATCACAAGTGGTGGCTGCCAAGCTGGACTCATCCGCGAGTCGGCTACTGAGGCTGCGAGCTGGGCCGGGTGGAGAATCAGGACCAGCTGAAGTGAGGGTTCTGCGATCAACTGGCAGAGTCTACCAGGGAACTCTGGCTGGATGTCCCTGAAGGGCATGGTCATGGGGAGATGGCCAGCGAGAAACCGAGTGGTAGAAAGCCCAGCGATTGAGGGGGGTTTGAGCTCTACAGAAGGGCGTGCCTTGTGCGTCCACAGGTCGGGAGAAGGCCGGTCTCCTGCAGGGCCTTTGAGCCACGAGCATGCTCAGTAGCATCCTGGGGCTGGGGAGAGGCGGGCGAGGTTTTCCAAACACCCACCAGGGGAGAACAGAAGTGACAGAGAAGCAGGCGCCACAGGGTTGGGGTCCAGATGAAGGCCAGAGTGAGGAAAGCGTGATGTTGAGCCCCTATGGCACGGCAGGACCATGGACAGAGATTGGGTGTGGCCCTGCTCCTCGCAGGGGTGCTTTCTCAATGTGCACCCCACGCCAGGTCTCCGGGTCGCACCGTGGTCCCTCTGCATTTCGGTCCCCTCTGATCCAGCTCCACAGAGCATGGAGACTCCCAGACAATCAGACATACACTGGGTGGAACGATCTTTGAGAAGGAGGTTCTGAAGGGGGGTTGGGAACCCCACTTCCAGCAGTGGCCCAGACCTCTGACCTCTCTCTCCGTGGGAAAGGCCAAGCTCTGCATGAAGGGGCTGCAGAGGCCAGAGGGGAGGGAGGATTCATCTGCAGAGCGGCCGGAGAATATCAAGATGTTAGCAATAGGATCGGGAAAGGGGAGCCCCGACTTCGACTTCTACCGGTGAGGGGCATCTTCAAGTGAGCCTGCTCTGTGTCCCCTAGAGTTGGGGACACAGGTGTGGGCACCTAACTCATCCTGGGAATGTGCTCAGGAGACAGGCAGAGGGAGGCTGGATTGGCCCAAGGTTAGGGAGCAGCACTAGGGGAGGCCCCCTAAGCACAGCACTGCAGCTGGGGCAGAGGGAGCTACTCGATGGAGAATGCACCCCAAAAGCTGAGATGGGGTGCCTCACACCTGCCCCTGGAGAGGCCTTTTGCCACAGGGCCTGAGGCTAGCACCCCCCTCCCACGTCTGCCGGCTCCTCCTGGAGCCCGACCCCCCAGACCCAGTGCGGGAAGGTGGCGCCAGCTGCCCCTCACCACCCCACGGGGCTGTGCAGCCGAAGGGGCTGGGCAGCGACGGCGGCAGTGGCAACAGAAATAACTTAGAAATTGGAGAGTCAGGGGCTTCGGTATGTGCTCACCTGGGCTTCCGATTACCCGACAGGGACCTTATTGCCTAGAGCACCTGGGGTGTGATACGAGAGAGCGGGGAGCCCCCGGGACACGCCCAAGGCAGCCCGTGTGCAAATCCCAGCTTCCAGAGGGGCGGGGCAGGAGAGCAGATCTGAGGACAGAGAGGCAGGCCCACGGGCCTGGGGGCGGCCTCTAAGGTCCCCAGTCTAAAGACTTAATAGCGGGGCACGGGGGGCGGGGTGTGGGCGCGTCGGGAGCCGGCCCGCTGCCGGCCCACAGCCAGGCGGGTCGAAACGCGCGTCCTTGGTCTGGGCAACGCTCCAGGGGGAGCTGTGGCGGACACCGAGGCGCGTGTGGGGGCGTGACCCCGGGGCAGGCAGGGGTGGCCGCGCCAGCCTGAGCACACTCACTGCTGCTCGCTGTCCGTGAAGTGCAGGTCCACCTTGAGCTGGAAATCGACCTCACTCAGGGCCTCTTCCACCTAGGAGAGACGCAGCCATTAAGACGGGTCCCGTCAGAAGTTCGGCTGACGGTTTCCTGAAATCTAGCAAAAGACTCAGCGCGAGGTCGATGCTGTTGCTGCTTCCAGCAGTACCGCGTGGCTGCGCCGGAGCCCCAGGCGATCTGTGGGTGTCCCGTGGAAGGGCTCCAGTTGGGGGAAAAGCGACTTTGCCAACGCATCAAGAAGGTGTCTGCAGTGCGGGGCTCTGGAGAACCCCGTTTCCCAGACAGACTTGAGCCTGTCTCCTCCGCGGGAGCCTCCCCTGCCCGCTGTGGGAGCGGACGGTGGCCTGCCACGTGGGTGAGGCCACAGCCCCCCCCCCCAGCCTGGCGCGGCCGCCTTCTGGTGGACAGAGCAGGGCAGATGCTCTGGACCGCGGCGCCTGCACCGGGGCCCAGCGTCGGCGAAGGCAGCCTCGCTTCCGCTCTGAAATCCGCCCCGGGGGACCCCCGGGCGCCCACGCCCCCCTCTGCACACTCAGCGGCGGGGGAGGCTGCTTCTGTGGGCGAGCAGGGCACACTCGCTCCTGCCAGCTTCCCGCCCACGCGAAGACCAGCAAGCACCGACAGACCCCTCCAACACGAGGGAGCTGCTGGCCGACGACGGATCTCACACCCGGCCGGGCGGTGTCTGCAGCCGGGGCGCCTCTCGGGCACCCACGGAGCCTGTGGCCGGTCTTTGCTGCCCGCTGACCTCTTGGCTAACGCTCCCCAGAGGCACCGCGTCAGGTTGGCAACCTGGAAGCCCGGAGCCACATTTTCTCTGCAGACACATTTTGTTTAGTTCTGGGGTATTTTTAGTGTGTTTTGAACACGTTGCGCACATTTAGAAATCCAGTATTTCACCACAGATTTCCAGTTTCTGAAAAAAACCTGAGCGTGGTCACGAGAGCTGCTCTCGGCTCCCTTGGGGCAGACAGCCGCTCTCCGCGCGGCCAGCCCGGCTGGCCTGTCCGACTGTCCCGGCCGCCTCCCGCCCGGTGACCTGGTGTCTGGAGGTGGAGGCGGTGTCGGGAGGCCGCCCGGAGTCCCGCTGCGGCACCTCCCACCCGCCCACTCTGGTGTTGACTGGGGGAGCCAGGCCTCCTCCCCCAGGGCCTCCTGGGGACGCGTTTCTCCTTCAGCATAACTCGGGCAGAGGCATATGGGTGGGATTTATCTTTAGGTCTGTAGGGTTTTAAAATTTGTTGTTAAAAAAGAAACATTTCAGGGCCCTCCCTGGTGGCACAGCGGGTTAGAGCTGAGAAGCTAAAGCCGCTTCCGCATGAGTTCGATCCCCGCCTGCCCTGGAAGTGACCACAGGGCGCGGCAGACCTCTCCTGACCCGCCCGCTGCTCCCCTCAGCAGTGTGCTTCGTCCATCTGCCTGTTCTGCTTCCCACTCTGTCCCTGGTGAAGCCTCTCACCCCCCCTGTATCTCTGGCCTGTACCCCAGTTCTGTACGAATAAATAAATAAATCTTAAAAAAAAAAAAAAAAAGAGAGGAAGAAGGCAGAGCAGGATGGAGAGCCAGAAGGAGCCTTGAGGAAACCACATGGAGCAGGGAGCCTGTGAGGGAGAAACCGGGCTTGTGTCCTGGCCCTGGACTGGCTAAGGCAGATGCGGGTGAGAGACCTGCAGGGAGGTGACTCTGGCCGTGTTTATATTGATTTGATTTTGCTCTTTTCCTCGCAGCCTTGTCTGGCCATTTCTGACCCTTTTCCATGAGAAGGTGCTTTAGTCTCGTGACGGCTTTCAGGCCTTGCTCTGGGCCGATCCCTTTTGGGTGGACTTTTGCCCACGAGGGGATGGGTCACTTCGGGTGTTTGATGTAGAAGTTCTATTCCTTGTGTTCCGTATTGTATACTCACTGTATTAAAGTCCCTTTTCATTCAAAAACCAAAACAAAACGTTTCAAAGCTAACGTTTCGCTCAAGCCCAGGGTATGAGACAAGCCTGGGTCTGCTGGGCCGGCCCACCCCGGCCCCGCACACCCAGCTCACTGCCACTGCCCGACCCGGGAAGGGGGGGCCCAGTGGCCCCCAGCCCTGCGGCCTCAGGGGCCGCCCCGTCAGCGCTGTAACCTGCGGCACTTCGCTGCTACTCCCGGGAGAGAGCGATGCCCGGGCCAGGGTGCACTGTGGTTGGGGGCTCTATAAATGTTGAATCGCGAGGGGTGCAGAACTGGCTGTGACCCCTTCACTGCCTCCCCCCGGACAAGCGTGTGGACACGTGGCGTGAGCACGCACCAGCGTCCACACACATGCAGGTGTCCGCCTTTGCCGGCCCATCCCGGCCAAAGCAGCGCCATGGACAGGGGGCGCCTCCCGGCAGGGCGTCCCGGCCACAGCTGAGGAAATGGCGCATCGCTGACGTTGGCGGGGGAGCGACTGTGTAGCGGGCACTGCGGCCGCCGACTAATTTAACACGAATACAAGAGAACCAAGGAACGTCGTCTCCACCCATGTGGGCCCGTGGGAACTCGGGGTGCGGAGGCAGCCCCCCAGCTCAGCTGAAGTCTGCACAAGCTGTCAGCTTCCCGCACAGCCCCTGCTCCAGGGCAGGACAGAGGCCGTGCAGCTTTGCTGGGGGGCTCCAGCTCCCCTGAAGAGCGTCTGTTGACTGCCCCCAAGAGTGCCTGCATCCTCCCCTCTCTTCAGGGGTCTCTTGAGGTCCACCACGGGCTGGCAGTGGTGGGCATGCCCTGTCCACCCGTGCCCACACGGCCCCCGCCCGATGCCTCTAGCTCTCTGATGGACACGGCAGCCTCTGCCCTTGGTCCTTGGGCCCATCACCCATCCGTCCTCCAGGCTGGCCTTTTACATCCCAGGTCCCTCGACTCCTGGAGTGTCGCCGCCTTCGGCGTGGCAAGGCCTCTGGCGCCCGTGTCCAGCCTTGTGTCCTCCGCCTGCCTTCCCCCTGGCTCCGTGCCGCGTCCCACCCGCCAGGCGCAGCCTTTCCGCCCCCACCCTGGCTCTGCCCCAGCCTCTGCCTCGAGAGCGCCCGACTGCCCTAACGCAGCCTGCTGTCCACCCCGTCTAAGCTCAGGTGGGCCCCCAGCCCAGCCCCGACGGAGCCCTTCTGCTGACGGCACCAGAGGCGGGCGCCACGCCCGTGTCTGGGCGAAACTGCCAGGGCCTGGGTGTGGGTCCGCCGGGAGTCGGCTCCGGGACACGCTTCTCTTGCTCCGCCTCTGAACAGGCAGCCTGGTCCACACAGACGCCCGGTGCCTCTGCTCCCGCTCCCGAGGACCCGGCGCTGCGCTGGCACCGACCCCCTTTGCCTCGGCTGCCGGATGCGGCGGCTGCCCAGACGTCCGCTCACCCGGGCGGCCGCAGGGCCCGTCCCCGCGGGCCGGTCTGCGGCTGCGTTTCCTTCTCACGACTGCGTGGCACCGTGGGAACCTTCCCCACCTTGGGAACCGCACAGGATGCCCCCGGGAAACACCTGTCCTGCCTCTGCACCTGCGCACTGCTGGCGCCTGGCTGGCCGCCCGAGGGAGCCGTCCCCTGGGCACCGGCACGAGGTCCTCGCGCAGGCCTGTGCCCTCGGCGTGTGCACGACGCCCCTGGTCTGACACAGGTGCCCGGGCGCCGTCCTGTGACACGGCCGCCCCGGGTGCGCGTGTGTGCGGTGGTGACGTGTGTGACGGTGGGTGCCCGTGCGGTGGTGACGTGTGTGCGTGCGGGGATGGCATGTGCGTGCGGGGACGGCGTTGCGTGCGGGAC